ACACACACACAGAGAGAGAGAGAGAGAGAGAGAGAGAGAGACAGCACGAGGACCTGATAAGCCTTGAACTCCGTCCCACTTTCTTGACCTAGTAATAAACCATGAACAAAATCCCTACATCTATAGTGCAGTCAAAAATTCGTGGCGCAACTTATCCTCAAATATTTTTTTAACGGGTGGATCAATGTCATCCATACTTTGCATAGCAGTTTGTAACAACGTGTCTTAACTTAGTCGTATTTTTCAACAACAATTGAGGCCCGATTAAAAAATTTTCCTTCACTGATTTTTATATAAAATACTATAAATCTCCATCACTGGAAAAATGTGATTGTTCACCGCACTTCCTGCTTCTCGCACACATTTTGCATACACATATATGGCCTACGTCACAGCTCACCTATGACACTTTTTAGTGGCAAAACTTCTTACCAAAAAATATTTTAATAAAGAACACATTTTTTGCCCTAAAAGTTCCCTAAACATACGTTTATAAAACATACTAGATCTACATACAAGTATTGCGATGTAATAAGGAAATCTAAATGACCGACACTTGCTTTTACAAGCGATATGTTGCCTGAGCTGTAAACTTTTCAACATCTGTAGAAACCATTGACTGGGATTTTTTATTAGTGTTTAATAAGGAATTTTTGTGCTGGAGTATGAAAAAATATTGATCTGTTAAGACAAATTGATATAATTATAAGTCATTGTGCATACGTTGGAGGGTCTATGTACGACAGGTAAGGAGACATTTGGCAATAAGTTGGAGGGTCTATGTAAGGAGACATTTGGCAATAAGTTGGAGGGTCTATGTACGACAGGTAAGGAGACATTTGGCAATAAGTTGGAGGGTCTATGTACGACAGGTAAGGAGACATTTGGCAATAAGTTGGAGGGTCTATGTAAGGAGACATTTGGCAATAAGTTGGAGGGTCTATGTACGATAGATAAGGAGACATTTGGCAATAAGTTGGAGGGTCTATGTACGACAAGTAAGGAGACATTTGGCAATAAGTTGGAGGGTCTATGTAAGGAGACATTTGGCAATAAGTTGGAGGGTCTATGTACGATAGATAAGGAGACATTTGGCAATAAGTTGGAGGGTCTATGTACGACAAGTAAGGAGACATTTGGCAATAAGTTGGAGGGTCTATGTAAGGAGACATTTGGCAATAAGTTGGAGGGTCTATGTACGACAGGTAAGGAGACATTTGGCAATAAGTTGGAGGGTCTATGTA